TCTGCATCGTCGTCGTTGGAACGAGTATCGCGTACATCGTCTGCATCGTCGTCGTTGGAACGAGTATCGCGTACATCATCTAAATCGTCGTTGTTGGAAAGAGTATCGCGTACATCATCTGCATCGTCGTTGTTGGAACGAGTATCGCGTACATCATTTAAATCGTCGTTGTTGGAACGAGTATCGCGTACATCTAAATCGTCGTTGCCGTAACGAGTATCGCGCATATCACCTGCGTCGTTATTGTCATCAAAATCGCGTACGTCTTCTGTATAGTCGTTGTAGTTAGTTTCACGTTCTTCTTCTTCCATATTACCGCGATTAGAATTTTTATCAGCATCCTCGTCATTCACCTCCTCGTCATTCACCTCCTCGTAAACTAATTTCTTGGGCACGTTCTCGTTATCGTGCTTGGCAGCTACCGGCCTCAAATTTGTCAAATGCTTTGACGGAAACTTGGCCTTGTCCATCGATAACTTGTCATATTTCCCACCTACGCCGTACCTATCGTTTAGCTTAAATAACATGTTGACGGAACTAACCTCGCCAACCGTAACAACCGTTGAGAAACGCCATGAATCCACAAAGCCATCATCAAAAGTCTCTTCGGGATGATTCATCATGTTCCAAGAAATCTCATCGTCTGGCCGCAAACTCAACAGCTCACGCCCTGTCCCAGTCGGCAGATGCTGACATCCCTCAAACTTGGGCACGTGTTCTGTCAGACATCTACTCATTGCTTTGTCCTCAGATACTGAGCTGTCATCTTCAAGACAAAATGGAAGATGAGCACCCGCAATGGCAAGAAGGCCTTTACTAAAGATGTATCCAGATGCAGTTGAACAGAATTTTATGTCTGATAGAGAGTCCGGCTGAGGGTTACCTATTAGTCGAGGATGAGTAGGTGATTTCAGAGAGTTCAAGTGGTCAAGGAGGCGGGGTAGACGAACAAAGGTTCGATCGGTCACTTTTAAGAAGTAATTATAATGATGCAGATGATAGGAATACAGGAAATGAAGAGCCTAACGAATTGAATCGGTGAAAGATTCATTAGTTACACTGGTTAACAATCGCGCAAAAAATTAATCTTGACACTTTGACGCAAACGGCATCGATACGGTTCAAAAAACACAATACCTTTGTAACCCTTCTAAACTTGTCTTGCTCGTCGCTCAGCATTTCAGGTTCTTTAAATACCATAGTTTCCTTGAGCAATTCGGCCATCATCTGCTTCAAATCTTCCTTCTCTGTTGCTTTGTTCTCGTTTTTCACGTCCTTATCCTCCTTCCCATCTCTATCCTTTTCCCTTTGCCTCTCCTTGTCCTTTTTTTCGCTCTCTTCAAATCCGGGTATGTTTGGCCATCCGAATTTATGCAGAGTGTCTTCTGACGTCGCAAACCAGAGATCAACACTGAGCGACTTGTTAGACCTAGCAACTTTACCCCAGGTATCGACTATTGCGCGACAGTAAGTGCTGAGCGAAGTATTTGCTGTGGGTACTATTAAAACAGCTAATTGTTTGGGATAATTGTCGGTGAATGTGGAGAACAGTGGTGGTGGGCGAGGTTTCTGTGGTTGTTGAGGGGTGGAATGGCTGTCGACAGGAAGAAAATAGTGATCAGTCGAGAGAATCTAGTGACAAATGACAAAGAGCACGTACTGATGGAAACGTTTGCTTTAAAAAAGAAAAAGAAAAAGCTTACCCTGTCATGGCTGGTGTCTCTTCGAAAGGATCTGGTTGTTTTGTCAATCTTATCCTTGTCGTTACTAGTATTATCATAGTAACGACAAAGAGAACGTAGCCCCACCTCCTTCGAATCAACTGCAAGACAGATACAGCCGACCTCCTCTGAAACACTGTCTCATGATTTAGGTAGCCGTAGTAGTAATAGGGAGGGCGAGAAACGTGTGATTTGCGATATGGCAGTTTGCTCGATCTGCCTTCCATCTCTAAATTGTAAAGAGTAGAAAGGCCTGTAAACTGATACTAGCTAAATTAAGGGATTGGTTTTATAGATTTTTCGAGTAGTAACGCCACAATTGCAGCTTGTTGGTACATTTCTCTAAAGCTTTTCGACGGGTTTTTCAGGTTTCCCGGATTTCCCAACTAGGGCAACAAATTAATTACAGTGTACCCATTAGATTGTTACACCATATTAAGTAAATAGGCGAATATTAATATGTCTCGCGCCGCGTCTTGAAAGCTGTATTAGCCATTTATGAAATTACAATGATGATTTTCAGGCAGGTGAAAAACAAAAGAGTTTGAGACGAACGACACTCTAAACTCGGGAATTGATAGCAGTTAAACATTCCGCCAATTAGACGATAATTGACATACTGTATACTTACCAAAAATCGGCATACAACTACGTACTGTAATGCTTACAAATGCTCTTTAACATGAGAAAAACGTTTCAAAACAATCTTTTAAACCCATCACGTCCCAAAACCTTTCCAAGAAGAAAACGATGACACTCGCACTCTCTACAACTGTACGTTTATTTTTTCTTTTTATTCTCGCATGCACATCTCAATACGCATACGCTGATGATTATTACGCAAGCGGATCGATCGTGTGCCCAGACCATGAGCCCTGCGCAACTGGGCAAACCATAGGTAGTATCATCGATCAAGGGAATGAGGGTCAGGGAAACCCTGTACCGACTATTACTTCCAGTTCAACACTGACATGCAGCACGAGTAGCTCGCCTACCCCGACGATTTCTACAGATGCCAACGGAAACATTGTCGGACAAATCATCAACAGTGGGAACAATTATTATGACTGTAACCGGACCGTAAGATCCAATAACACGAATCCTACTGTAACAAGAACGCAAGGTGGGAATTCAATCTCGGTGGCTGGAAATGCGGCAAGCTCTTTGAAATTGAGAATTCTGATTGTGGGAGCAATTGTAGGAATTTGGATGGCATTGATGTAACGAATTCACAGAGTTTTTGTGATGTTGCAATATGTCAAAAGAAAATCACTATAGTTTTTGTATTATCGTATCTAACAGTTAGCAAAGCAAAGTCGTGTGTGTAATAAAGATGTTCTATATAATTCTGTGATCCAAGTCTAATTAAATATACGCATCGTCTATTTAATGATAAGCGAAAGATAACAATTTAGGCTTGCTTTTTATCTGGATCCGGTATCCATTCCTCCGGTCGAAAGTCATCACTGGGGTTAGGCACATTCCTCTTTGACAACTTTTCGGCTAACGATTCTTGCCTTGCAACTTGTTTTCCATCTCGACTCTCGTCCGCTTGCCGCTCTCCCGTCTCTCTCGCATTTTCCAATCTTTTCCTTTTCTCGTCCGCGTACTGAATTTCCAACAATCTGATTTTTTCCTTCATGACACGCTTTCTCTTGTCATCCTCTTCCAACTCTGGTAGCGTGGGCGGGTCGAACCTGGTATGTTTCAACCAGCTCTGCCATTGCACAGGCAAGTCATCTTCACGATACTCTGCAACCGGTATTGGACGGTTTATTTCAACCGTACGTCTTGTTCGACCATGAAAACGGTTGAGTGATTCGTAATAGGTGTTGCCTGAAAGATCAGAGCCAACATAGACGCGTGTGCGCCACGGTAACCGGAAAGAACGCCAGAGAAGCGTGAGGCGAGCAGGCATTTTTTTTTTCGGACAAAAGAGTGTGAGATTGAAATAGAGAAAGGAATTGATGCGGTATTATTAAGAAGAGAGAGGTCGAAGGATGGTTCGCACAGTTCGAGAAACGACAAGTTTGTACGTTATTTTGACACTGGAAAATATTTACAATGTGTAGCACAAAAATGATGTAAAATCTTAGATGCTCCTCTGATTCTCACATCTTTTAACGATGGCGACATTTCGAATAGCCGGAATATGTGGCTCACTTCGAAAAGCTAGCATTAACAAGAAACTTCTTTTGCGAGTACAGCAGTTGTGTACGGAACGCATTCCAAACGCAGTGATAGAAATTGTCAATTGGGACGACATTCCAGTGTATAATGGGGTAGGTTTGTATATCTGTGTGTGTGTGTGTGTATGTGTGTGTGTTGGTGTCTGTATGCGCTCGATTGTCAACAATGTCAAAAGTTGAATATTTTGTGGCGAGTTAGGATCTAGAGGAGAATCCTCCAGAATCCGTGATACGGTTTAAGAACGACATTGCAGACAGAGATGCTGTGTTGTTTATTACACCAGGTAGTTAGAATGTCTTAATACGTAATCACTCGTACAAAAACGATATTATTTTGCAAGTTTTCGTTTTACATCCATCCATTGATTGATCGCTTTTTCGCTAACTAGTTTTGATTCTTTCCGCTTACGTTCAATTTGTGTTTTTTCTTTATTGTCTGTGACAATTATGACGTTGAGAATACAATTGGAGTATCCCGTAAGTAGGAACATGCTTAAATTGGCCGTCTCGCAACTGATTGATTAAAGAGATGCTTTTTTCGTTGTTATCAGTGGACCGTTGAAAAATGCTATAGATTGGGCAAGTAGGGTTCGTCTGGGTGATCGAGGAGACGTGTTCAAGGGGAAGGCCGTTGCTCTGATGGGAGCCTCACCAGGTACTAAATTATAATACTGGAGTATAGTAACAGTGAGAATGATAGATAGAGACGAAAATATCCACGTGATAGATGGATATAAAGAATGTTGCGCAAAAGTACGTTAATTGTTTTTCCACTGCTATTATCACCTTATCTCTAGGTTCTGCACCTGGTTCCGCTGGCAGTGGGAGAGCACAGTTAGCTCTACGCCAGTCGTTTACATCTCTCAATTGCTATTGCATAAATCTGCCAACCGTCATGGTGACCGATGCATACAATGCGTTCAACGAGGACGGTAGTCTAAAGAATGTTCGTCTTGAGAATAACATAGTGTCTGTGTTGGAGCAGTTGATAGTACTTGGGAAAAAGTTCCAAGTCGGCAATTAGCACACATTCAAGGAGTAACGGTTTTTTTTTTGCGAACAGATGTTTTGGAAATATGAATAGAGTATCAATAAAAAATGAGTAAACAAATCGAGTTAATTAGAACAAAAAGAGATTAGTATGTGTGGGGGACAGGAGAAAAGGTTGACAAAATGTTATGTGCTACTTTTAATACTACTCGTTATTATTGACTCGTGCGCCGATGCCTTAATTGTTGTTGTATATTTTTGTCTCTGTCTGTGTAAAAAAAAAAAAAAAAAGACCGCTTGACTCGCTTTGCAGGGAAACTCGTGCTATCCGCTACTCTCCGATGTTAAAATCCAAGCTTAAAATCTCGATGACCACCACCACCTCCTCCCTCACCCTCAACAAACGTGTTTGGGTTACTGCTGCTGGCTGCTGGCTGCTGGCTGCCGCTGCTCGCTTTGTTACTATCACTAGCTCTAGTACTGCGTGCTGCTTGCCTTATCCGATGAATTCGATATCTGATGCATTTCCGGAATTTATTGTCCAAAACAAGTTACACTGTGTATCCGTAATCCGTTAGGCACATACAATAAATCCATTCTATTTACAATGTGTTTAACACTAAACTCCCGATTGATTTTTCTTTTGCTGCGTGCGGGTGGAATGCGCCGAGATCACCATGTTGGGATGAATTGTGTAACCGTATTATGTAAGTGGAATAGTGATCAATTAACGTTTTCTTTTGGTCGATCAGATGATGGGATGGGTTAAGAAGCGATTGTCAGTTAAAGGGGAAGGAGGAAAAACCTGAATGAGTACGAGGGGAAATAGGCATAGCCCGTCAATTTTAAATAAGGAATTAACTTGGCATGTAGCAAAAAGATTTATATTGTTATTCAAACATTATTTTCATTATTTGTTACGGGTATCAGTCCGGGTGACAATAATCTATATCCGTAATAATATTGTTTGTTTCATCCCCGCCATTATTATCGTGGCTTTTGCAGAACGATGTTCGTTTGTAGTCATGCGCTGGCGTAGATTATTTCCATATTTCACTTATTGTGCATTGGTTGATGGGTAGCATTTCTTGATTGGATGGCTATTTCATGATGACATCTGGTGCGCTTAATTGGTGATTATGCTTGTATCAGCTTTATGCCCATAGTCGTGTCCTTGACAGTCAATGATCAGCGTCCCATTAATCAATTACATCTGTACTCGTAACCAATACGGATGGGATGGGCAACATGTATTTATATAATAATAATAATAATAAAAATACAGAAAACAAATTGAATATTTTAATGTTGACGCCACAAACAAATCCAGGGGTTGTGGCACAACACAATCTTTAGCGTAAGCAAAAAAATTTTATCTGTAAAGAGAAAATGTTTTCTTTAAATAAATTTGATATTAGGGTTTATCGCTAGGAAAAAAAAAAGATTTTTCAGTTTCACACGTTGAGTTTCAATTAATCTACCAGACCTAAATGGGAGGTTGGGAATGCGGGTCTTTTAACACAAGCTGCAACAGACACGATAATTCGTCCATGTCTGGTAATTTTAACATAATTCTCCTATTTAAAGTTGGTGCGATAATATTTCCAGGTTAGATTTTTTGTAAAACGTCAAATTTTAAACCAAGCGGTTGCATTGCTTTTACGAGTTTAACTCTGAAACCAGTCTTTGCATTGTCACGTGTCGTACTTTAATTGATTGATATCATGATCACAAGTCTGGAATATTTCATCACAAGCTTTGAGACATCAAGTTACTCGGTGCAAGCATGCTCTGTTTCAAACAAGAATCGCAGACTCTTTTCGCGGGCTCCATCCATATGAATTTGTGTCATTAGTCGCAATATTTGATTAGATTGGGGTTTAATGTTAATTAAAAATGAGACGCCTAATCGGACGCACAAGAACAACTTGTTACTCAAATTTGTCAGCCAGAAATGTAGTGCGTTTTATAGCAGAATGATGGTACGATAGTAACTTAGAACACAATTACAACCCGACGACAACGGCACCTCTTTATTAAGAAAGATCGAGCGTGGGTTTACATAAAACTAGAGTCTGTTGTGCAACTGTTAGTCATATTCTGCAACAATAACATGTAACGACCGGTAATGTTGTTGAATGCTGTGTTGATCGTGATGATAATAACGATAACCATCATGATTATTATCATTAGGACCCTGATATTTGTAAAATTATGGTTATTATTATTATTGTTGTTAATCTGTGTTAACTATCAAGTTTATTCCAATTGTGTGGCGTTTAGCTGATTGTGGCCCTGCAAATAAGGTGGCGTTATGTCCACTTTGTCACATTACCATTGTGGTAATGCTCCACATGCTATCTGCACATCGCGCGAACAGATTTACAACGACATCCACGGGAACACCGGATGGATAACAATCACCGTGTAACCACAGCCAAATGAAACTTGTACAATCTCAGCTATAACACTAATAAATTCCACCACTGTAGTTCCCACAAATAATATTCTTCTTTCTTTATTTAGATATCTGTAACACAGCCTATACTAAATGTTCAATCCTGTATCCCACATTATCACTTGATAATGATGAGCAAAGATTAACGCAGTTTGGGTAGGCGTACAATTGTGACACCATGGAAGCAACAGCTCATTCTGCATGCGGATACTTTTACAATTGAACCTGGAGAAAAAAAAAAAGAGTATGTCGAAATGGACATATGATACTTGTTCTTTTGTAAGACAATATCAGAAGGAGATATTATTAAAACAAATATGACAAATGGAGAATAGTCGGGTTTTTGGGGAGTAAAATAGTATATATGAAGTACATATAGTTTCAAAGTATACACAATATCGAGTAAAATCTTGATTATTGGTTCGAGATAATGAGAGGTTCCCACTTGGACGGAGATGAAGGCAAAAATGTCCGTTTTTTTGCCAACCCAAAAGGGTATTAATATAGATAAACTATAGATGTAATAGCAGTACAAACGGAATTATATTATGCAAATACTGTAAGATTTGCTGTTGTCTTCTTTTCCTTCTTTCTCGCCTATCACTATCACCATCACCATCACACACTTCCTAAATGACGGGTTATGCGTTAAAGTTTGTTACTAAAGGGTTGTTTAGGGTAACGAACGAGTGAGCAAACGAACGAGAGGGAGCGAGTGATGAGTGACCGAGTGACCGAGTGAGTGACCGAGTGAGTGACCGAGTGAGCAATTACAGGATAAGCACTTATTATCCGAACAGTTTTGTTATCAATTAATGTTGACTGTTATTTATTGGATTACTCATCCTTACACAACACACATGCTTTATAAGACAGGGCGAGACAAGACAAGACAAGACAAGACAAGCCACACATCACAAGATAAAAATAGCAACATTCTCAAACAAAAAAATGGTCGGGGGACGGAGAGTGGAATAAGGGGAGAGCAAGCGCCATGGCGAATAACAATTGGGTAGTGCATTAGGGGACACTGGGAAGGATAAGCAATTTTTTATATTAGAATATTATATTATGTGTAACGATAAAGGATTCATAAGCGGAGTTATCGAGATTTTAATATTTTTGTACGTGGTCATGTGTCATGTATATTGTATGTAATAAGCAAGTAAAAGGTAGGCCAAGGTAAGCCAAGGTAAGCAACCCATATGATAATAGCAGACTTAATACCAACTACCGATGACATTTACCAACTACCACTTTCACTTTCAACCGCTACGACTATGACATTTACTTTTCAACCGCTACTACATTTACCTACATTACCACTATTATCATTACCACAGTCATCGTCGTTATTATTCTATGCCGATATGGCTATTACTCCATTGTGTTATTCACATTGACACTACCAATTATGAAATATACCCCCATTGTATATTGTGATTCCTTTCCACCTGTTTTGTCTTTGGTCCGCGCGATAACTTTCTTGTCGAATGACGCACAACCACAGCATACATCCATACATGTGGGGAGCAAACTTGAATATGGTGACAAATAGTAAGACAGCAGTTCAGAACATACGCAGTACATGTGGAGCATAGCAAGTTATATTGGGTGTATAAGGCGTATCATGTTAAGGGAAATTTAACAACTCCCTACGTTAAACAAGCCATTCAATCCTTCAAGATGCAGATAATGCATTACATATGCAAATTTAGTAGTTGTATACATTATCTGTACAAACTCTCGTCATCCAGGGTAGGGGGGAAGATCAATTGCAGTGCAGTGGCGTTGTCACATCAAAGGGTGCGAGTGGACAAAGGTGAGAAGAAGAGGGAGAGAGAGAGGGGGGGGGGGGGGTAGTAAAAAAAAAAAAAAAAAAGGTCAGAGTCATACATAGACTTTCGGTGATGTGATAATTCCCTATCTTGATTAACGGAGAGCAATTTAGTGATACGTCGATGACGATGTTCTGATATAGGCAAGTGTATTACGCTCAATTGTGGGTAAATAAGGATTAATGTGCAAGAGAGAAAATGTTCAGTAAGTGAAAAAGTTGGGGAATAAATAAATAGCACACAGATGGAACAGAATAACCAATGTAGTAAATGTAGCAAATGTAGCAAATGTAAGCAAATCGTAGGATAACATTGTGACAGACTGAAAAAACCTTTTTATTTATACGGGGTTGTGAATAATTAAAACTGACTTTTTTTAGGGTTTGATAATCGAATGCGGAATCTATTATCTAAAATGTTATTTATTTTATATGATAAATAATATAAGCATTGTCAACATTTGAATTCATCCGTATAAATAAAATTTTTTTTTATGTTATTGCATTGAATTTTCATTTACTAGTCCAGAGTCATTCCCGAGTCGTTCCCGAGCCGTTCTTAGTCGTAAGAAATGTCATGTTGTGTAAACGCAAAGGCAAAACTCATGCATCTGTGTTGGGTATTTATATTGTGGCATCATTCTATACCAAATCTAGTTAGTCTCCCATGACGTAAAAGATTTCGTTGTGTTCGCTTTGATCAAGCCCATTTTTACAATCAAATTTCTCTACCCCCCAACTTTCTCTTCTGCCACACTTGCTCCTTTCAGAAGAAAAACAAACCCATTTATTCCAACGATCACTCCCATATAAAAGCTTACTCTGCCGTCAACGTAAGTTCTATTTTTTTATCTTTACTTCTTTTTTCTCTTCACCACGCTTTGACACCTTGTTTATTCAAACTCGTACATCTCTACTGCACCCCCCCTTCTCCGTTTCTTTCTTTTCTTGTACTCTATACTCTGTCAAAAACTTACACCGTCTCTCTGCTACTCTATTCGTTCCCCTCTCGTGCGAACAACCAGATAATAAACTCTTATTTATAATACAGTCTACTCATCTTAATCCGACGTGTCCCGTGCTGCTAACCAGGACTGCCATCGCTCTCTGTGTCCTACACCTCAACCCTTGCGAGTAGTTACGTTGCGAGCGTCAAAGACGACATTATTTAATAATGAGTAATATTTACAACCATAGACCTATGTTACCTGCTACTCAAAATAGCAGTAGCAACACTAATCGCTTTGCTGAAATGCTGGAGCAATTAAAGTCCGAGTATGACCAACTTCACCAAGAAGCCGTTGTGTATAAAATGCAAAAAGACGACCTCGAACATAAAGGTAACTATTGATGGGAAAAAAAAAAGAAAAGAGTCGAGTGTTTCTGACCTGTTATAGTCTTTTCGTATCAATTGAGAATGAATTTGGAAGGTCGTCAGCAAATGGATATTTGTCACGTGTTGTATATTTGAACTTGGCACATCGAAAAGAGCGAATGAATGGAATGAGAACAAACTAGATAATATGACGGCGAAAGTAATTGAAAAAAGTTAGACGAGAAAAAAATTTTTTTTAGAGAAAATTGGGATAAAAAAAAGACTTTTTCCAAGCAAAATGTGTTTGCGCAATGTTTATATCGATTCAGAGCAAAAACACGCAGACGAAATATAGTATAAAGACTGTCGGACTCGACGAGATTGTCATCGAGTTTTTCAATCCAAATCGTTATTTGGGACAATGTGTCATTTGATTAGATAATATAAAATGATGCGTGCAACTGGGAGACAATTGTCGCGACTTTTAAAGCTACACACTTTTTTTTTTTAAAGTTTATTTACTCATTTATCAACAACGCTCATTACAGTCCAACAACAAACCGAAGAAGTCAATCTCATTCGTCAAGGTTTATACGATTTACAAGCGAATCAAGCAAAGATAAAACAACAGTAAGTGATCAACTGTGTCTGAGGGATCAACATTCTTTTCACCCGCGATCCTGACCCGCTTTTCGTCGTCATAGGTACGAGCAGGATATCATGCGTCTTCAACGTGAACTAGAACAACAGCGCCTGCATGCACATTCCTCAGGTCACCCGCCACCATCTTCTCATCCACCACCGGTCCCACCTCCACAAATCGGGCAAAGTGGCTCTACTCTTTTCAATGGCATCATGAACGGTAGTGGTCCTGGATTAGTTGCACCAGCACAAATGTCACTCGACCCTTCACAACAGCAACCGGGCCAACCTGGTCATGGATATCATGGCCCTCCCCAGAACGTTCCCCCAACTGGGAGTAGTTCGGCGCCTAGTCCGTATATGAATGGAAGTGGTGCACCTCCAGGTGCACAGCTTGCACAAAATCAACATACTCCAAAACGAGCCCGGATCGATGAGGGTATGCCCGGTACGGCTCAAGTTGGTATGCCCATCGGATCACAGCCTCCCCCTTCTCAAATGTATCCAAATAATGGTATACCACCCGCTCAAATGTCTCAACCTAATCAATCTATTGGACAACCAGGCGGATACATGTCTGCAAATCAGAAGCCGGGAAGTAAAATGCCTAAAGTATGGATGTGGGCAGTTCTTCGAGAAAATATAGACTAATCTTCTTCATAAAAGAGGGGTTTATCGCGAACAGGCGAATTTTTAAAATGATGTTCATCTCGTTCCTAACTAATCTCTGTTCTCCTTTTCATTTTCTTCTTTCAACGTTCCAAATTTTCCTTCTTTGCGCGCACCTTATATTACACAACTAACAGGTTATTCCAACTCTTGGTCCTGACGCATCTTCATCGGGAATGCCTCCAAACGGTGCTCCTGGGTCTGTTCAAACAAAGCGTGCAAAACCCAATGTGACTGCTCCTCCACCGGGGGCACGCCCGTCTAGCGGCAAACCGGGATCAGTTCCTGCTTCGTCGTCGTTTGATATGGATTTGGATAATATTCCTCCTGGATTCAAAAAGGAAGGAACAGATTGGTTTGCATTGTATGTTGAACGAGTTCATTGGTTTTGGGGTTTCTTTTTCTTTTATAGAAGAAGCAGCATTCTTTCTGCCGTTGCTGCGACAAGATATGTTTGTTTTCCAAGACAATTTTAAAATGTTCATTTACAAATTTGTGCGTTCAAAAGGTTCAATCCAAAAATACCACGTGTATTGGACGTCGACTTGGTTCATACTTTGGAACATACCAGGTAAATATCATGTCATTATTAATTAAAGCTCTTATAAATGCTAATTGCCATAATTGTTGATCTTTTTTTTTTCTTTCGTAGTGTCGTTTGCTGCGTAAAATTTAGTTCTGATGGTCGACATCTTGCTACAGGGTGTAATCGAAGTGCACAGATTTACGATGTTACGAGTGGACACAAGATAGCGTAAGTTTATTAGCATTGTTTGGGATAATACAGATTTTATGCCACTGATTGCCAACTATTTGAACATATGTGATCATTATAGTGAGCTTCTCGATGAAGCAGTTGAAAAAAACGGAGACTTGTATATCCGTAGCGTGTGTTTCAGTCCAGACGGCAAATTACTAGCCACTGGCGCAGAAGACAAACAAATCAGGGTTAGTGCGACTTCTAAACAAATCAAACAAGACTTTATGTTTTCCTGTTTTAATTTATCTCCTGCTGTGCAACAAATATCAATTACCGATCGACATAACCAAATTTAGATCTGGGATATCAATAGTCATCAGATCAAAATGATGTTCACCGGTCACGAACAAGACATATATTCATTAGACTTTTCCAGAGACGGTGAATTGATAGTGTCTGGCTCTGGCGACAAGACTGCTAGAATATGGAATATGGTTACTGGAGAAAATATTTTCAAATTGCCAGTTGAAGAGGCCAGCCAGAAGGATGCGGGAGTTACAAGTGTAGCCATCAGCCCTGATAAACGATACGTAGCTGCTGGTTCGTTGGATAAGATTGTAAGAGTGTGGGATGTACGAACAGGAACTCTACTAGAGAAACTCGAAGGACACAAGGATAGTGTGTATTCTGTTGCATTCGCTCCTGATGGCAGCACGCTAGTATCTGGTAGTTTAGATAAGACTTTGAAATTGTGGGACATGACATCTCTGGCAAGACATCCGCAAGGCCTACCGTCTGGAGCCAAGCATAATAAGATGACATTCAGTGGGCACAAGGTAACGATGATGGCAATCAAAACAATTTGAAAGCATAGTAACGGGAGTATGATTATGGTTTAGTTTTGCTCCACATTGTTTTCGCACTAATCGCCCTCGACCATTATGCCAACAGGACTTTGTGCTGTCAGTTGCAGTATCTCCAGATGCTCGTTGGATTGTGTCGGGATCAAAAGACCGCGGAGTACAATTCTGGGATCCGAACAGTGGCCAACAACAGTTTATGTTACAGGGTCATAAAAATTCCGGTGAGTCGAATACAAAGATTTCTTGTTGTGATGGAAAAGATCAAGTTTTTCGCATTCGAACTTTATTCTTATCAATTTTTGTTTCCTCTTTTTACAGTAATTTCCGTAGCATTAAGTCCGATGGGTAATAAATACTTTGCCACTGGATCAGGTGATCTTCGAGCAAGAGTATGGCGATACTCGGAAGACATGTAACATCAGTGAAAGTAACGCGAGAGCTATTAACATAAAATTCGCGACCGTTACCGCGCTACTAGAGCTTGACGGCCCTAGATTGAACTTAATTTTCACTGCACACGTAAATATAGGAATTCAAACGCATATAAATACATTTATTTCACATTACACTAGTCATAATTTTTTTTCTTTTACTTTCCGGTGTTATTGTTTTTGCATAGTTGATTTTTGTGTTAACTTTCCATGAAAAAAAAAGGCTGATTTAGCTGACAAAGAAAGAGGAGAGAGTAAAGAGATGGGTAGAAGGAAAAAAGGGATTATATAAGGGTATAACGGTATCCCCATCTCGTCCATAGCCTTATTATATAGTGAGATTAGTGATTCTTGTTCCATCGGGATCAAGATCTAATATATTTTGATGTAATATGTATGAATAATATCTCCTCGATTTTTATCTCTTTTTCTTGTAGAAAGTTTTTTGGATTCGATGTCTTTCTATTTTTGTTTTATGCATGAGCATTCCACGTTTTATTGTATAAATTGATTTTGAAATGAAAAAAAAAAAAGAAAAGAAAATGGTTGAGGTCACTTGTCAAGAAGGTATGGAGTCTGGGCAAATTGCAATTGTTAATTGAGCTATGCATACGGTGACCCACGTGTAATTGCCGGGATGCAGACCACCGCGTGTAAATTGCCCAAGCATTTGCAACATAACCGCCGCGAAAATACAAAGACGTTGACATGAACGCGCATAAATATTGAGAAAGCCCTCTTACAACGCATTCTGTATCGTTGAATGTCTCGTTCTTTTTCCAAAAAGGATTTTCCGATTATAGAATTAATTTGATAATTCCAATTTAAACAAGCCATATTAAGACTAATCAAGCAATTTACCGCGCAAATACACGCTTTTCAAGGAAAACAAACAGGATAATTGAATCTTTGAAAGTCGATCACCTAAACCGAATATGCTAAAATATGGAAATTTGAAATACAATTTGTACATATGTGTAACAGAGGCTAGCAGTATTAACCAGTAAGCGCCAGGTACAGCGTTGGTTATAATGCATGCAGAAACTTGATTTTACGTGTCAATAAAGTAGAAAGCATAATGATTCGGCTCGGAGGAGTCTAATTTTTTTGTCATAATGAATTATTCGACGATACAACAATTAATTTTCAGACAACCATTTGCTCTATTATTTTTCATGTACAATTGGATATTTAAATAGATAGCATTAGTATCAGCTCTTTCAAAGAATTGTATAAATAACTCTAATTAATGTACATATAATGGGGTATGTATAACCGTCAAGCCAGCGTTAATGCGGAAAGAATACGAAATACTGTTATTTGCTACATTATCGTAATAATGAGAAACGATGTTCCGTCGAGAAATGATTTGGAAACCATCAAATTCATGTGGAATCTTTTGTTTTCCAGCAAAGTTTCTGGATTTCAATCATTATCCACGAGACTATTTACGTAAGAACGTTAGTGCGACCCCTCTCGTGAATACAGCTACTAACGTAAAAAGTGCTTTTTATTTATTAGTTTATTATTGGTCCGTCTATTCCACTCCGCCACAATAATCTATTATTCTTATTATTATTACAAGTGAATGAAATATAATGGTACCAAAACAATTAACTTAACAAAAACGCTATTACTATTACTATATCAAACGTTATTATTGCAATCTTGTTCTATTCTTCATCACTTAATAACTCCCAATCGTCAACGACGTCATCAGAAGGTGAAACAGTCCGCGCTTCGTTCTTTGTCTCATCGTTTCCACTCTTGTTGTTCGACGTAGACAAAAGAACTCTGTCAGATGAATCATCGGACACGGTTGAATCGTGGTCGCCTACGGTCATCAACACACCAAAAGGATTGATTCCAACAGGAATAGGATCCGCATCGCGAACAGTCGCCTGGGTTACTCTAGTTTTGCTTTCGCCCTCAAAGAATGCGTTACTAATCACATTGTTCTTCTCTCTACTTATTACTTCGTATTTGGAATTAACCCAGCATAGTTCAACAGATTGAGCAATACCCTTTAGTCCATCGTTTAGTGCATGTTTGAGTCTGGTGAGCGTTAATTCTACTTCATCCATTCCCATTGCAGTCATAGACGGTAGAATATACGCGTCGTTCTCATTCACCCATTTAATGACAAAACTGAGTTTTCCCATAAGTGGCTCAACATGCTTTTGACATTCCTCTTTGCTGAGCCCACAAGACAATTCGGAGAGATAGAGGGCATTTACTGGCTGTTTAGGCTTGCGAACGCTTGTTGCTGTTACAGATGCCGTTGTAGATGTTGATTGGCTAGCCTGATTAGGACTAATCGCCGCTTGTGATAATAATAGTGAAGGACTAACAAGAATTGTAGAATCAAGTTAGTATAAATCAACAATAATTAATTACCATAACGCGATTACTAATTTCTACACTTACATTCTTGACTCGGGTTTTTTCCTTAATATTACACTTCTATATGGCTCAACATCAACACTTTCCGATGCTAATCGATAGTGACCACACAACTCGTGTACAAACTTCCGAAATGGACCTTTCATTGCCGGAAGATTCAATGTTTGCTTATCAGATGTGATAAATTCACCTATCACATTCTCAAGATTCTTAGCCCACACCTTATTCTTACTATACATATTCACCAAATTCTCTTCATATTCAATTTCAATCTTGGAGGTGTCATCACTATCGATTTCCAATGCCTCTGCAAGTCTACGATTACGCTCAGCAAGAGCACATGCCTCATCACATCCCAAATGTCTATTCATAATCTCACCCGCGTTCTCTACAGTCGCATTACATTTAATCTCCTTACTGATTCTCCCACACTGACACTTAACGACCATCATCGTCTCGCAAGGGACGTCTTCAGGGCACCTAGCAGGAGCATGACATTCAGCTGTACATTCATGCCCGCAAACTTTTATCTTACCGCACTTCTGTGCGCATTTTCCATTTAAACCATTCTCGCCAATCAAACAGTTACCCGAGTGACAGGAACGCTTACACCTATGCCCACCACATGAAATGGGAAGATCACAGATACGACCACAACTGACTGTTGTCTGGTGACAAGGAACGCTCTTTACGACCGTCTTCCCGCACATACATAACTTGTTGACTAATGACGGACACGGAGGGCACGGCTGGCCATCTTCATGACAAGGATGGGTAATTTCACTATGACCACAAGGTGGAGAACGTGTACACGTATACGGACAAGAAGGTAATTTCATGCCGCATGAAATTGGAGGATACACTTTCGTTCGACCACAAGCGCATGTCAACTCATCAAATGAAGCCTCTAAGCATGGAGGACAATGTCCTCGATGACAAAGTATCTGACAAGTATGATTTCCGCATTTAAGGTTCTTCCCACAAATCAGAGTACATCTGTGATTCTCATCTATTTCCTCATTAGCTCGCCTATTAAAACCTCTTCTCCCGACTTTCACCTTATTAATCGATGGACAACACCGTTTACCGCACTCATGTCTTCCACATTCTCTCAGCGTATGACATATTCTTTCACACTCCAGTGATTCGTTCGCACTAGAAACATCCTTACAAATACGTTCGAATTCCATACTTCCACACCTGCACTTGACCTTTGTGAGAACCTCGCAAGGCTTACAATCCCCCGAATGACAAAAGTCTTGACATAGATGACCGCATGGAAGCTGTTTGTTACATGAACTTCCGCAAAGAGGGATGTCTTCTTGACAGGAGACGCGCTGTCGCTTCAAGAGAGAATGAATTGTGCGTTTACCGCAAGGGCAGGTAGTCACAAGAGATGGGTCACGAGGGCAGGGCTCAACTGCAGAAATAGGATGACATCTGGATTCGCATCTATGTACGCCGCATGCGAGAAGTCTGTTTAGCAAAATTAAAATTAATGTCAGTCATCAAATTCGGTAGTATGTTACATTGGGCCGATGGCTGTATGCATAAAACATGTGAAATTTACCTGTCGCAGAGTTTTTCACATGCATAATATCCAAACCGTTCAGCTGAACCATCTTTACAGGCAACCGCATCACCTTGTCCACATTTAGCTTCGCGTGTGGATTTGCCACAATAACAATGTTGCATTTGAATTGTATCACAAGGCGGGCATGGACCTGCATGGCATGACGTCTCACAAGAATGCATTGTACACTGCAGACTAGAAATCAAGAGAATCAAAGGTTAAAATCACAATTCAATTGTATGTTATTTAGTTAATTTGCTCTAGCTGTACATACCTCTTGCCACATGGTTCTCCGCAAGAATAACCATTCGAATGATTTGTTTCTGCACAACGAAACTGATACTTATGTTTTCCACAATAACACAATTGCATTGGAGCCATCGCTGAACAAGGTGGACATGGTCCCGGGTGGCATTGACTATAGATAAAGAACATTATATAAATTTCAATTAAATTGTATGGACGACATGTATTATAACAAGTTGAAAATTGTTAATTATCTGATTGAACTCATTGCTCTACGTCAGAAATATAAAGTCGGATTTTATACTTACAGTACACAACTATGTGGACACTCTCTGGGACGTCCACATACGTCTCCACAGCTATGCGGTGTAATATATCTATTCATTTCCGGATCCTTTGACTTTCCACAAAAACACTTGTACTCTGTTGGAATATCTGTGTTTCTATTCTGACATCCTGGACATCTCCAATTTCGGTCCGCATTTATCTCTCCTGATACGGATGATCCGATGTCAGTCATTGACTTCCTCGCCCATTTCTGAGCACAATGCAGGTGGAATACCGCCCAACACGTAGAGCAAAACCACGTTTTATGTGAAGGCCGGATGACTTCGCAGCAGATCATACATTCGTAAGTGGAAGTTGATAAGCCATGAGTTATGGACGATAGCACGTCAGTGGTAGATGAAACTGATGCAGACGCATTTGGGCGGGGTGGACGACGGGTCCGGGGTGGGCGGGGTGCACGGGGTGCACGAGGAAAAGCGTGAGGATTGTTCGTGGACGTTGAAGATGAGCCAATTGTCCGTGTGGTTGTGTTTGTACTAGTTTGTTGAGAAGGGTCGCAGTGTGTTTCGGATGACGACGCAACTCCCGACGAGCTCGTTTCTTCTGACCTGCGTTTCCACCGCCCCTGGCCCCGCATCCCCGTCCGCATCGATGTCCCCGATCGACTCGTCTCGGTAAATGGTTCCTCTCTCGGTTGTGTCCGGCTCGGCCCTCCTCGTCGCCCAGCAATTGAAGAGCGATCTGTCCTCCTATTCGGTCTGCCACGTTGATTATTGCTTCTAGAGTTGGTATATGATGTTGAAGCTAAATGTGAGTCTTGGTTTAATGGACGGTCGGTATGCGTGGGCGTCGTTTCTGTAGTGTTTTTTATGTCTTCGGAACCTGTCTGATGCTCTTGATTCACATTTTTGAGGCTCGCGGTAGCTACGCTTTCAGAATCATTCAAATTGACATTCGCGTTCCTGTCATTATTACTCTTTGAAGTGCCGTTTACTGTATTAATGCTTGATTGTTGCAAATGATTATTTGATGATTGTCCTTGTGAACTAGCCTCTGCATGTGAACGAGCACTAGGTGTTAAGTTCTCTCTATTATTACGCCAGCCACGTCTTCGACCTCTTCTTATCCCACGATTGGAGTCGTGTGCCCTCTGTTGTGCACCACGCTCTTCGCTGTTTGCAGAAAGAAGCATTAGTATGTGAGAAATATTTGAGACCGACAGAATAGTAAACACGAGTAAGCATACCTCTCAAAGTCATTATTTGCGCTTCCGAGAGAACTCATACTGCAAAAAGTGTTTTCGCAAAAAACCGTTACGGTTTTGATCTGATGAAACTGAATTAAATATTACTAATATTAATTTTTTAGTAGCTACGCCGCAAACCCGCAGTCACGCCGCAGTCACGCCACATGAAAATTTTTAACGGTTAATACAACAACTGTGTATATACTACGTTTTTAATGTATAATGGGTAGATTACGACGATCGCGAGTACATAAGAGTATGTTGACAGGCAAATACGTTAGTTCTACTGCTGTTAGAGTAAACAACTAGTACTGAGACAAGGTTATTTTGTGATTTTTTTATGTAGGCATAAGAGATCAATATAGAAAGTATAGAACTCGTAATTATGCAAAAGATATTGATCAAATACATGAAGAATTGAAGAAATTAGACGAAAATGAAGCTGTTATGAGTCAAGAATTAGATGAAGACCTGCCTGGCGGAGGGCAATTTCATTGTGTAGAATGCGCGTGAGTGTAATTTATAAATGTACATATGAACAACTGAGCGACATAGAAGATAACCATCATCTTATATAGCATATAGTTGAGATTGCATACCAAGGAGATGTGTACTCTTGATAACTATGGCTCTATTAATGTTTACAGTCGCCATTTTATATCGGCTGAGGCCTTGGGGGAACATAAGCGCGGGAAGAACCACAAGAAACGGTGTGTAAGAGGGTTATGCACAATTTGTCAGCTTAGATTCGAGTCGAGTACGCGATTTTTAAATATCAGTAATTGCAAACCTAATCGTATTCTGTAACTCGCAGTGTGAAACTGCTCAAAGAGCAGCCTTATACTCAAGCAGAAGCGGAAGCAGCAGTTGGATATACTACTGAGAATGCTCGGATAAAACTCATGGAAGACGTTATGTAGTGTACTCTATCAATCGATCTGTGGTTCTTCACGAAGTTATTAATCATCCAAAATTAAATAAGCGTCAGTGATTACTTTAATTTCCATGCTTCTGATTAGACTTTTCGTTCCTGAATAATATTTGTCGTTCAATTCCTGGATCTAATAACATTGACAACAACATGATATTGCGTAGTGCAGTATGTTATGGTTCGGTTAATGTATTGGCACATAAACGGTTCAGTAAAACAACTTGTTCTTGTCGATGCATTTTCAAGGCCATCCATTATTGCATACTATTACAGCAAAGTATGTATTATTTGTCACGTCTGTTAACTTTGGGAACGAACCAAAGATATTTGAGTGCGTTCTTAAAGGAATCTTATGCCTACATAAAAAAATCACAAAATAACCTTGTCTCAGTACTAGTT